CGAACTTGTAAAACTACCAAAATACCCTTCTCAGGTTTACACTCTAATTATAAAATCAAAATTAATTAATTAATTAGAGGCATTTTTAAGATGGTATTGTGAAAATTAAACTTTAAAAATTTTGTTAAAAAGGCTATGAAAGGGGCTCTTTCTATATGTGGGTCGTTTTGGTTTTATAGTCACATCTGGTTTTGATTTGCCTAATTACATCTACTGGTTTTAATTAATTAGTTAACAGGGTTATTTGACAAAACTAATTAAGAGGGGTTAAGGAACATTTCTAATGATCATTTAGAGAAAACACACACTGTACGTGGTGGACAAGCACAAGCGAAGAAAATGTTGAGAAGGAGAAAGAAAATGAAACAAAGAAATTGACAATGGTTTGATGTTTGACCTGTACCATATACAAGGGGCATTACTTCACCAAAGCAAAACCCTTACGCCTCGTTTGGTACGCGGGAATGGACAGACTTGGGAATGGAATGGAAGAAGGAATGGAATGGATTGCATGTGGAATTGTAACATAAATTACTTGTCTTTTCTTTTACTAATAATTTATTTCCGTTTCTCTCTGAATTGAAGCCAGGTTATGATCATAATGTGATAATTGTTTCATTTACTTAGTACTTGAATTGGTTAGATATGTTCCCAGGTTTGTATAAGAAAGACTTCACAGTTGTGCTTTAGGAGGTGTTTGGTTCAATTTCTAGAAATTATAGTAAATGTTTTCCACTTAAAATATGATTTCCTTGTATTTCTTAAAAAAATTATAGGAAAAGTTTTGAGAAATCAAAAAGTACCAATTTTCTTGTTTTTTGTACTTTGCTTGTTTGGTTCAAAACAAAAAAATTGCTCATAACTTTATAGAAAATAACAAGATTTGGTAGGTTTTTAATTAAATATGGTATGCGTCAGATTTCTGGTGATTTCCTCTCATTTTGAGAGAAAATTGTTTTTTGTAAAATTTGGTAGGTTTTGATATTTTATAGAAAATATTTCTGTAAATTTTTTGTTGAACCAAACACAATTTACAGAAATCTCTGAAAAACTTTTAATTACAAATTTGTCATTGTCAGATGTTTTGAGAAAAGTTTTCTCAAAAAGTGTGCAACCAAACAACCCCTTACGCCTCGTTTGGTACGCGGGAATGAGGAGGAATGGAATGCAATTCCCACTTCCCATTCCCTCATACCAAACACACCAATATTTTAGATGTTGGAATGACCATTCCCTAGGAATGATCATTCCCACTATTTGTGGGAATGAGCATTCCAAGTGAGAAGATAAGGAATGGTCATTCCCATTCAAGTGAGAATCAAAAACTAGTTAGGTATTTTTCAATTATATCCATATTAATAATAAAGAATGTTTGGGTGAGGCCTATGCAAGTGGGCAATTTTAGATTGACAATTTAGGCTAGTATATCATTTTGCTATTTCGAAACTTATTATTTTAGTTGGTATTGTTTTATGGATTTTTGCTATTATGAATTGAGTGATTTTGATACTTTATCAAATAAGTTAATTTATATATCTAGAACTGTGGATTGTGGATATCATTCTTTTTTTTTTGGACCTATGAAAGATACGATAATCTTTTTTTTTCTTTAATTTTTAAGACTAAGAAATAGCGAGTATTGTTTAAAAAATATAAACGAAACATACACCTGATGGATAACACGAGCATTAGTATATAACACATATCTAGATTAATATAACATATGCGTATATAAAATTATTTAGTTATTATCATTAATGTTTATTTTTTATCTTATTAAAAATCTATGTTATTGTAAGGGCATTATTAGAAAATGAGATTTCATTCTCACTTGTGTACTAATGATACCAAACATGGGAATGGGAATGAGATTTTCATTCTAGCTTCATTCTACGAATGCACCCAAACAAGAGAATGAGAATGACCATTCCATTCCCACATGCAATCCATTCCATTCCTTCTTCCATTCCATTCCCAAGTCTGTCCATTCCCGCGTACCAAACGAGGCGTTAGAGTATCACGTAGAAATTAGCAAATTCCATCCGCAGCTCTTGTTTAAAAATTAAAATAAAGCTGGCAGTGATATTTAATATATTTTCTTTTAGCCGAAATTAATGCACTTAGCCTGCAAACATTGTAGAAGGCAATAGCTCCATTTTATTTCCTAAAAAAAATGAAGAATTGTTTTTGGAGTGTTTGGTTGGCTAAAAAAGAAGGAAATCAAAGAAATGAAATTGAAATGATGTTAGTTGTCACCTTATTATTGGATGATGTTTGTGATTTTTTAAGAAAACTAGTTTTGGAGTGTTCGGTTGGCGGAAAAAAATAAGGAAATGGATTATAAGAAACCTATTTCCTGTAGTTTCTTGTTTTCTTTTGTTCGGTTCATTCTTAAAAATAAGAAATGAAATGAGATGAGATGAGTTGTCATTGTATTATTGGGTGATGTGAAGAAAGATTAAGAAAAGTGTTTTCATAACTTTTTGGGATGAAAATGAAGAAATAAAATGTTAATAAGATGGGGTGAATTGTTATAATATTTTATTGGATGATGTGAGTGATTTGAAATGATGAGAAGAGATGAGTTGAGTGATGTTTGGATGAAAATAATATTTTATTAGATGTGATGGATGAGTTGTTAGATGAAAATAATATTTTATTAGATGTGATGGATGAGTGGTTAGATGAAAATCATATTTTATTAGATGATGTGGATGAGTTGTTGGATGGAAATAATATTTTATTGGATGTTGTGGGTGAGTTTTAGGGATGGAAATGGAGGAAATTGTGAGTTTTGAGATTTTCACCATTTTCATTTCCATTTCTTGGTTTTTAGAAAACAAACGAACAGACTCTTACTGTATACTTTGGTTTTGCCACCAGCTACAGCTTGCACCGTGAAGAGATCACTTCCAAGTTCGAGCTACCATTGTATCTTCACTCTTTAAAAAAACCAATCATTGTACTTTATGGATAAACTTCCGATGACATCTACTTTGTTTCTTGTCACCCCAGAGCTATATCTGTTCTTCATGCCACAGTAAAAATTAAGGTAAATTACTATACCATGCACAACAAATCTTTGAGTTCACTTTAAGTAAGTAGGAGTAAATTTACTGTCCGCAATACAATATTTACTGTATTATGAACATTACCCTTTTAAGTGTAGAGCAGTAAATATGATTTCTGATTTTAAGTATATAATAATCAAATTAAATGTATTAAACTTTAGAGTGAGTCACATTCAAACTGTAATACTTAAAAAAATAGGGGGTCGTGCTTTACACAGAGTACACACTAGTTCCATGTGATTTTAAAAAAGTCTTCTATTTGTCACTTTTTGGAAGAGTTGGAGTCAGCTGTGCTGAAATGTAATCCATTGTTAAGGCAAAATTTATAAACCACTCTTCCGTTTGGAAATTTCTCAAATAGGCCTCTTAACTTTCAAAATGCCAGATAAACTACCAAACTAACGGTGTTTACGTCTGAGCTTTTATTTTAACTTAACTGGGTTTGTAACACCCCCTCAAGTGCGGATGTTTTTGAGATAACCTCTTAACTTCTAAAATGTAACAAAATTTCCTTTAAGATTTGTTAGAAAACTCCCAAATTAACACTCTTATTTTTTTTTTCCTTTTGAAAAATGTTTAAAGTTGAACGGGGCTTTCTAAAAACCCAAAAGTTAAAACAGGGGGTTCTGTGATATTTTGAAAGTTAAGGAGGTTTGTCTGAGAAATGATCAAACTTATGAGGGTTTTGTGACATTCACCATAAATGTTTTTGCATCATCAGTTCAGCATAATAGAAACAAACTAATAGATTTAAACAATTTTATATATATGTAGTAAAAGCCCCTTCTCAAGCTTTGATCTTCCGTATTCCTTTTAAATTATCATCATAAATCAGAGTGACCAGAAATACCTCTCATGCATTGGGCTTTCTTACTTATTGAGAAATCTTCCTCATAAATACGAATGAATCATTAGAAAACTTTTGCATGCATCATCAGTTCAGCATAATCTATCAAAATTTTCGCACATGGGCAAGATCTATCAAAATTTTCGCCAAGGGTGAAAATCCCAAATAAATTTAACCCAGGGGTTCTATTCGCAATAGAAAAAAAAACCACGGGGGTAGTAATTACTAAACAGCGCTACTATAGGGGGGACTATATAAAAAGCAATGCAAAGCGTTTTCAAGAAAAACAAGAAATTTGGTCCCCCGACTTCTCCACCGAAACCCTAACCCCCGCCATGGCCAAACCCCGAGCCATCCCCGACGAAACCCTAACCAAAGCGGTCAACGCCCTCCTCAAATGGCTCCGGTCCTCCAAGAAAACCAACAAAGACCCCTCCATTACTTCCTCATCCTAACCTGCAGAGTCCCCCGCACCGACTGCGGACCGCTCCCTCCCTTCAACCTCCGCCCTCCCACCCCTCACGGCCACCCTCGGTCGTTCGCGCACGGCCCCACTTCCCCCTCTCTCCCTCGAGCCACCGTTCCGAGCCCTGGACCTCCCATCTCAAGCCTTTGGTCCGGATATCCTCCGGCCCCGGCTCAAGAACTGCTCCCGCCACGAGGCGGTATCTTGTTCGTTCGACCGGAGGCTCGCGAAGAGATCCAGAAGACGGTGGATGAGATCGCGGAGGTCGATTTGACGGCGGAGACGTGCGCGGAGGGAGGCCGGGAGGAAGAGGTTAGGACGAACGGAGGTGAGGTTCGGGAGGACGTACGCGTTGGCGACAGCAGGTGAGGTGGGACGGGGGATGGGAGGGAGGAGATCGCGGCAGAATGGTGAGGCAGGCCGGTGGCAGGCCGGCGGCGGTGGAGGAACTAGAGTGCCGAAGAAGTGCGAGCCCGAACGTTAGGGCACGCGTTGCATTTTGGAAGGCGGGACGTCTGGGGCCTTGCCGACTATACGAGAAGGAGGGGAACATGAGACGAAAGGCGCGGAGGAATGGACGGATGACGGGAGGGAGACGGATTAGGCCAGCGAGGAGAGATCGGGGCTTGAGATTTTCTTCGGGCGGGGAGCGGCTCGTGACCAGGTTTTGATCCCTAAGCTCGAGATTGTTGCTTCAGTGATGTGTCTATGAGATAGTTGGTACATGTTGATGGTTGTGTGAACTATATCCATTGTGAGTGATGAATTGGTTTAAATGATGTTAATCCATTAATTTAAAGTTATCGATTTAGCGTGAACATTTGCTTGTCATTCTGATGAATTACTGTCCATGATTAGAAAGTATCTTATGATGGATAAATGGGAGAGGAGCGGGCGTCAGCAAATTCTGATTTCTATTTAGCTTTGAGTATTTCAGTATGAGATTATCTGTTTTGATGCAACCTACATTTGTTAGTTGAGTCTTATATTTAAGAAATAATGATGAACATTCGATTGTTGCGTGAGATCATCCCTGTGAATGATGAATTGGTCTACTATGTGATGATACAATAGTTGAAAGTTATTGAACTAGCATGATCATTTATGTGTCATTCATATGGATTGCTTTACAAGATAGGACAATTTGTGTGTGAAGCCTTATAAACCGTAGCGGAATACTTATGTTGTTTCTCTGCTTTAGGGGTTTTTGGTTAAGCGTTCTCCTATTTACCTTAATATTCCCTCCTCCTCTAAGTACATTGCATAAGTTTTTTTTAAAATTTAATTTGGAAGAGAAATTATGACAAGATAAGTTGATGAAGATGGGAAGTGATCCTTTGCAGGCAGAGTGAAACGTGAGAATTAATGGCATGATACTTAGACATTTTAAACAAATGTTTTCTTTGTGAGAAGTCTTATTCTGTTATTTGAAGAACTTTTTGAGTGATGCTTGTGCTGTAAGGCCTTGAGAAATTCTTTCAAGGGAACATGGATTCCTTAGGTGGAGAACATTTTTTCATTGCAAAATATTAGGGTCCATTTAGTTGCACACCGACTAAGTTGGGAGTCAATTTTGGGTTTATAAGAGATTTGGTTCCCTCCCTAGGATAGGTACGTGAGTTCCTAACAACCCCACCTTCTCAGTTTCAAGCAAGTGGTGGTGACGCTGACATTGCATTGTTGTTCAGGGTTAGTTTTGTGCAAAGTCAAAGGGGGTGAAATAAGGAATTTAGTGTTCAACCGAGATTAGACTATTGGAAAGTGCTAATGTGCGTGATTGGACTGGGAAATCAACGTGGTTTATAATATATTTGAGTTTTCTGTAACTAGCTTTTAGAGATGAGTTCTCCTCTCTTATGCAATTTCTATGTTGTCCGTAATTTGCAGAATGTAAGCATCAATATATTATGTCAGACGAGAAGCTACTGAGACTAGCTAGAACTTTGATTCCTTGCTTTGGTTTGGAATCCTGAATGGAGCTTCATCCCTCGTTTTTGATCCTGCAAGAGAAGAAGGAAACTGTTTTTTAAAATTATCTTTATGTTTGTTGTTTGAAGAGGATTTTCTGTGTTCAGATTTCCATATTGTGGTCAAGAGGGAGAGATGTGGGATTTGTTTGTAAAGAACAGAGACTATGCGGGGCAGTGCTCAGGATAATTCACTTCATGATTTCTTTTCCCTTTTGCCACAGCTAAATATCATGATCATTTTCTCATTGATGGTTATTCTTCTTCAGATGATCAAGTACTGGTTTTATTTTTGTTTTTGTTTTTGTTTCATCTGTTGTATCTCTGCTGTACATTGAGAGAGTGTGCAGGGTGTCTGGTCTCCAGCATTCTGAAGGAAATTTATGGATCTACCATTAAATTTCTGATGTAACCTTCATACATGCACGTAGATAAATTCTTCCATTGCCTAGCAATTTTGTGTGCAGATCTTTTGTGTACTTGTGTTTATTTACAATTTTCCTTCACGTCTCACTGTCTTGTTTACAGTTGCGTAACACAGTAAAGATCAGCTCATGCTGAGAAGAGGAAAGGAGCTGAAGAGCGTAAGCCTATTATTACACATTAAAAGCGTTTTTGCACGTTGGCAGCTTTCAGTATGTGAAAAATGTTAATTCAGAAGCCTTAATTCAAATCTAAGAATCTCACACAAGAGTCCTATAGAACTGAGATTTTTGACAATCCTAGAACTAAGAGTTCTTGGCAATTACTCTGCTGGTCTCATATTGGCAAAGGGGATTGTAGTGGGGATGTTTTTAATATGAAATTAGGATTCAGAACCTACTACGAGCAAAATGAGGAGAGCATCATCCTCTCCTAATCTTTATCTCTCATGAGTCATATTAAAAAGAAGAAAAAAACTACTTCATCTCTCATGCATTATCTGTTAAGAGTATATATATCTTATTTTTATCTCATACAGGTTAACTAAACTTTATCTCTCGAGCTCCAATTTTCAACCGAACTTGTCTTTTTGAATTTATTCCAAATGGAGCAGGAAATAGCTTCCTTTCTCTTTCCCCGACAATGCTTTTAGATAAAATTAGCCTATAAAAGGAAGTACCTAGGAGCAAAAGCAAACGCCAAAACATACGATCCCTTGCCTACTGAATCTGGCCTTTGGGCTTTAGAGCAAGTCCTATTATAAGTTGCGGAAATCTTATTGTAAGCCTGAAAGGTCTAGGCTTAAAATTAAAGGTTAGAAAACCTGCGAATGCCCAACTGTTGATATAATAACTAAGAAATGTGTAAAAACAGTCAATGACTTCTCATATGTTGGACGTTACAAATTTTTTAATCAAGAAACCGAACTTATTGGATCTCTGGATGAACCCTGTAATGATCCTGAAAAGGATTAACCGTCGAACTAAGTTAGAGACATTCTGCACTGAGATGAAGAAACTAGTAGAGAATGTAAACCTTTTAAATTTTATTACATGATCATAACATTACACATCCTAAATATTTGAATACAGGCGATAACTGATGCCCAATATAAATGCAACACACATCGCACCTTGAGATATACAACTCGGCCTGAACCTTTCATATAACACATACTTGACAGACTTCGCCAATATGTTTTGTTTTACACGAATTCTTCAGATAGAAGATAACCTTCTTGGAGACGCCAACCCTCAGGCTCTTTTAAATAAGCTTTATCATCAAGGTATCCCTCTAACCTATTCACAATCTCTCCCAACTTCTGATCATCTCGTTTCTTTAATGCAGGCAAATAGCTACGTGAAATTACATCAAGTATCTTAATGAACTGAGACTTGTATCGTCTGTATAGTGCAAATCCTGTCATCTGATAGTTACAGAAAAGGAATCAGTTCGTAGCAGATTGCAGCAGAAAATGGGTAAATTTCACAAAATCCCTGAACATGATAAATCAGAGAAAACCCCCATGCACTTTCAAGATTATACTAAACTGCCTGAGCTATTGGAAATTCTTATAAATAGCGTTTAACTGCTAGAGTAAAAATTCTAAACTACAATGGTTTTCCTTTTTCATTTTCTTAAAACTTTTTAACCACCCTTACGGGGAAGGGTAATATAGAAATTATATTTAGTAGTAAGGGGTAAACTTGTCCAATAGTTATCACGTGAGCATGTGACAACTTTTAGTTGATGCTGTCAATCATAGTGATAAGTAAGATAAGTTCCGCCCGCTTTCTCTGAGAGCATGTTTGGGAACTTTGGATTGTAATCTACTTTTGATTATAATCCAAAAATCAATTATAATCCAAGTAAATCATAATCTAGAATGTTTGGTAAATTTAAGGGATTATAATTATTTTCAATAGTAGAGTGTTTCGTAAATGGGTGAATTATAATCCACCATTGTTGTCAAAATGACCAAAAAGGACATGGGATTGGTCGTGAGTAATTAAATAAGGCCTCAAATTTTGTAAAATCATAAGGGATATTATAGTCTTTTGCTTGGTTCAGCCTCTTGTCTAAGTTGTATTGTAATCCACCACGAAATAAGCTTATTTTTGGGTGGATTATAAGACAAAAATAGGCCACTAGCCACATCTCAAAGTGGCTTATAAGCCACAAATGGACCATTTGCCCAGCATGCTCTAATTTTAGTTCAAAGGAGTATTGTAAAATTTACCCAAACATCTATACTACTTAGAAAAGTGAATATCCATGTCAAAACTTTTGATTTCCCTTTTTACCCTCTCAATTTTTTATCTCTCACAATTATACCATTATTGATAAAACTAATGATCCATAACCTCTCATTAACTATGCACCTCTTCATTTTCTCAAAATATTTGGTCATTCACTAGAATATATTAATAATTCATAATGATAACAAAATTCGTAAATATATAATAATTTATTATAAATAATTATTAATTATATAAAATAGTAAAAATCATTCATTTAATAAATTAGGTCACATAATTATAATTATTAATAATAGTATAAATAGGAGTTACTTCTTTATGTTGCAAAAAATATTACCTTGTTCAATAATTAATATCATCTTAGTAATAAAAAATTGGACAATATAAATTAAAAATATTGTTATTTTGGAAAATTAATTTATATAAAAATATTAAGATCCATGAAATTTATGAGACGTATACTTTTCTCTTCTTTTTCCTAAAATATTTGGTCACTTGCTAGAACATATTAATAATTTATGATGATAATAATAATAAAGTTAATAAATATATTATAATTCATTCTAAAGGAATTATTAATTGTAATGAAATAGTAAAATTATTTATTTAATAAAATATTGTACATATTATAGTTATTAATAATAGCATAAATAGGGGTTGATTCTTTATTTATAAGGAATATCACCCTTTTCGATATTATAATATCATCTTAGTAATAAAAATTGGACATTATGAATTAAAAATACTTTTATTTAGAAAAGTTACTTTATATAAAAATATTGGATTTTTGAAATCTATGAGTCATTCACTTTTTTGTTACTAAGATGATATTAATTATCGAGCAATGTAATATTCTTTACAATATAAAGTCATATAATATTAAAAACTACTGCCATTATTTAATAAGTATATTGTAATAAAATATGTCCATAACATAAATATTTAATAATATAAATGGTTTAATTATATCAATAGTGTTACTTAAACTAATGATTACATTATTATTTAATAATTATACTCCTAAATAAATTGTTTAATAATATAATAATAGGCTAATTTAAATAACCATTAAATGTATTTTAATAATAGTATAAGTATTAATTATAGTATAACTTAAAATTTTTTAATCATAGTGCAATTAAATAACTTTGTAAAATGTTTATATATAATTTATTAAATAATATAATATTAAATACAACAACATGTCCACGTGCAAAGCACGTGCATTATACTAGTTGATTTAAAAAGGAGAGAAAACACTAACCCTCAGGAAGGCATCCAAAGCGAAGGCAGTAGATCTATTAGCAGGAAGTGTGTTCAGGAACATTGCAAGCCACGCCCATCCATGTTCTAGGCCATGAGGATTTCTAATACCTTGCATATCAGTCTGCCAATCGAAAAAATGCAAAATTTAAATAAGTAAACAAGAAGTATATCATTATTAGTACTTAGGTAAAATCATCGTGAAGAAATTTCACACTATTTGAGATTTTCTTATCGATACAGTTTGCATTGAAAAAAAATCGTAAAGGTAAGAAGAAAAATTAATGTTTAATACGACGGCTATTAGTAACTATCAAGTGCCAAATTGCTCATTATTTCTTCAATTGAAAGTACCTACAAATAGAGAGGTTGTTCTTAAGAATGGGGTGTATGCAACTTAACAAAAATAGGACAACCATACAGAATTAGATAGTCCAAAGATGAAGTTGATAGTGAAGAGAAATAGAAAAAGATATCCAATAACACAGTCAACAGTTAGATACTCCAAAGATGTGATATAACCTCTATGAAGCAGTGAAGACAGACCTGAACAAGAGCAGCGTATAGTTTCATATAAGGCTGTAAACGTTTCAAGTAACTCTGTGAGCTTTCCAACTTGCTGTCTTCTTCACGATAACCAATCATTTTCCAGTAATCTTTACTTTGTGCATCAGGCTAAAACATGAGAGAAAAAATGTCTCGACATGAGAATGAAACAAAATAAGGTAAAGAATGAAAGGAAAAGCATCTCCAAGAAGAAAAGCATGCAATCAAATTTTGCCAAGATTGATCGTTAACATAAACTGATTAGCAAGCTCTGGTTGCTAAATATTTGAAGGATTTTGTTGAATACGTTGCAAAACCCATTTGAGGAATCATGGTCTAAGAATTTTTTTTTTAAAATAGGGAAAACAGAATGTTGATTGTTTGTCAAATTATTAGAATAATTTTACATTTGAAAGCACACAGAATGACCAATACCAAACAAGGGAAGATGATGCCTAGAACACAAAGGATGCACTTATCCGCCTACATGCCTGTGCACCACAAAAACAATCCAAAGACAACACGAGAAGTGCTTGCTTAGAATAAACTTTTTGAACCAATGAAGGAAACCAGCAAAACCACCTGCATAAGCACATTATTTACACGCATGCCCACACACACTCAAGTAACACTGACCTAGACACACAATCAGTCAAAAGAGTTATTGAACTGTATCCATTAAATGAAATATATATGGCTTAAAATATTGTCATTATTAGCCTGAATCACTATATTAAGATAATAAAATAACATGAGTAAAAGGCTATAAGCACCACAAAAGAAATGAGTACAATCAAGCAATACAGTTATGTACTCACCTTTGAAGGATGGAGATGCTTAGGAACTGTGTAGATACAGGCTTTATGCAATTCAGCCAGTACAAAATCCATCGCAACAGGCACCTAACAATATTTCAAAAGAAATAATTCTTAGTGTGTTAAATGAGATGATAAAATGTTCTTTTTGACTTGCACAATATCACTGGGCACTGATATAGAATATGATGAAATATTTTCTATTTGTGCTCCTATTTTCTTTCACTTTATCACTAGGTAAAGAAATTAAATCATGATATAAACTGACAATCACATGTAACATCTATCATTCACTAGCACTAACAAGAACATGTGATGATCTTAAATAGAAAGCAAATTCAGGTGCAAAAGACTATGTAATAGGTTAATCCTTGATTTTGGTAGAAATAAGATGTAACATTCAAAGATAAATTGAGTTATCACTAAAAACACACATATTTGCTCATCATTGAGAAGCACCAAATCACTTTGCGTGTTCATTATTTATTTATGAAATTATTTGATGCTAAAAATAAATGTAAGTTAAATTGCTCCTATGAATATTTAAAAAAAATAATTCACTCCGATTGCAGTATCTTTTTTGCTCCACTATTATCTAAAGAAATATACTTTGCAATAGACTATGAGGTAGTTATCTACCAGTCATACATTGTAAGTAGGGTATGTCATTAACTAGTGAGAATACCTCGGAAGAAACAAGGAGAATAACACAGGCGCAAGCGAAAGCAAATCGATCATCATTTCCCCTTGGGGTTTCACAGAAGGAAACAATCTGCAAAAGAAGAAAATAGTAATAAACCAGTAATAAGAATACAGGCTTTGCAATCAGGGGGGAAAAGTCATATTGGCAAAAATAAAGTGGGAGACATGCAGAAGAAGAATAACATATACAGAAAACAAATATTAAGTATAGGTTTCCATATTTTTAGTAGAATAATAACATAGTTAGGAAGTTATGATGTCATAATAAACTTAGAAAACAAATAATTACTTACATTGTGAGAGTTGGATGTTATATAGTTAGAAGTCTGTATCTTAATGTTGGTTAGTTGCATTGTTGTTGTTTCCTACGTTGTGTTTATTGCTATCTAGTTGCTTTCTAGATTTTATGAGCACTTTTTCCTAAAGTTTTTAATTTGACCGGTTAAGATAATAATCACTTTCTCTTCAATCTATGTTGTAGGCAAGTTCCCTAACTTTAGTACTTCTCATTTAATCTTTTTCGACGAGTGAAAAAGATCTCTTTCTTTTTCATTAATTTACTTTGTTTATGGTTAATTTAAAATTTAAAAAATGGTTTGGATTATGGGAGTCATTGGAGTTATTCTGTTAATATATAGTTAATAGTTGCAGATATTATCCAATATTCAATTTCTCTAAACACAATATAGTGATCTTCTACCTAGAAGTTTTTTTTGACGTCTCATATTTTTCTGTTTTTCCTGATGTGTTGGATATTTAAACATTTATCTAAATATCTCATACACACACACACAAAAAAAAATTATTCTTATGTGGTTCTGCATGGTATAATCCATTTAGTCAGCCCATAGTCTGCTTTGGAAAAAAAATGTAATCAAGAAACTATAACGACATTATACAGCATGTAGAAGCTCTACTTTGAAAGAATAAGAACAAATACATTGTAAATCAGCAAGCAATGCAAATAAACACAAGCTGATTACCTTTTGCGCAAAGACCAAGATGGAGATAGGATGAGGTAATACTGAGCCATTAATCGTGCTTATGAAATCTTGTGCTTTAGATCTGTATTAGAGAGAACAAAGAAAGAAGAAAACATGACACATGGTTAGAAAATTTAAAATAAAAAATTGCAATGCATACTAGAGAGGCAGGTGCTCACAGGCATAAAGAGTTTAGACAACAGTAAAGTGGTTTACAGCATAATAGGAGAAATTATTTGACGTAACTTCCAATGGACATTCAAATGTAATAAGTAATAAAACAAAATAAACACAAGATAAAAATAATGAAATATTCCATTCTTGAGGTATAAAAATGACTACATTCACCTGACAGCCTCAACAAGATAAAAATAATGAAATATTCCATTCTTGAGGTATAAAAATGACTACATTCACCTGACAGCCTCAACGGTCCCGGTTATTTGGCTTACTATCCTAAACATCTTTCGTCCATATTTTTCAAATTCCTGCCAGTAATCACAAACAGTTTCAGTAGAGTTTACATAGTAGTTGCAAGAAAATTTGAAGGAAATGAAATAAGGCTGTCAAAATTAAACAAATGCAAAAACATATGTTACATATTAAACGCATTGCCAGTGTTGATGGTCACATTAAGGAGATAAGTAAAAAAAAATTCTTTTAAGGCCACATTCTTTATAAAGTTATCTATTAACAGATTGCACTTGGCCCAAAATTACCTAAGATCAAGAAAGTCCAACTTCACTAAAGTTAGTTCTGGCAAAAGATAATGTTGTTTCAGGAGAAATATGCATCGAAAGTGAGAGATAACCTTCTGAGGTATACTAGGAATCTCTTTGGCAACATCATTGTATATTCTTAGTCTGTTTGCCTCTGACTTAAGTGCAGCGTCAGCAGCCATAACTTTAATCCCTGCCATAAAGAAGTAGAAGAATATTTAGCTTACTTACGAAAGACTGTCAACAAAGAGGTGAAATAACAAGATTTGTAAAAGGGCCTACAGTGGAGAGATAAAGAGAACAAAGAGCCAAATAACTCCAGCTCCAAATCTATTGACTGACAAATTTTTCATGACAAACCTAATCATATGACCCAACAGTGGAGAGATATTAATACAAATATCAAAAGCTAATAATACCTGATTCATCAGAAGATGAACTTCCTTCCTTTCTTTCTCTTGCATTTTGTGCACTACTACCGACCTTATTCTGAGCTGCCTTTTCTGCAGCTTCTGCAGCACTTTCTCTTGCATTTTGTGCACTACTACCGACCTTATTCTGAGCTGCCTTTTCTGCAGCTTCTGCAGCAGCTCTCTCAGCTTCCTTTCTTGCAGCTTCTTGAGCCTCCTTTTTTGCAGTTTCGAGAGCTAATCTTCGTTCTTCTGCTAATTTTGCAGCTTTTTCTCTCGCCTGTATCAAAATTTGGCATTCAATAAAAGATTCTCAGAGCTACTTTAATCTAGAAAAACATCAGTGATAGTTTGTTTGGACAATGACCTACGATAAAAAAACAACAACCTCATGTTATTTGCATTGGTGAATGTCACCATGATGCATTAGGTAGCAAACATTGCAGTAACTATTTTCTTGTTATGCACTAGTTAAGAATTAAATATGCTGGCACCATAAAACCAATGCAAAAAAAAACAGTATAAGCACAATGAATATATATTGCTAAGGATATGGTGTTTAAAAAAACCGAATGGAGAAAATGATACATACAGCAAAGCGCAAAGGTGTGAGGTAAAGGCTATGTATTAGTTAATTAAATGTTCAACCTCATGTTATTTGCATTAGTGAATGTCACAATGTAGCATTAGGTGGCAAACGTTGCAGTAATTATTTTCTTGTTATTCATTAGTTAGGAGTTAAATGTGCTGGCACCATAAAACCAATGTGAAAAATTAAACAAATACAGTAGAAGCACAATGAATATATAGAGCTGAGGGAAATTTGTTTGAAAAACCGAATGGAGAAAATGATACATATAGCAGAGCACAAAAGTGTGAGATAAAGGTTATGTTGTTGTAGATAAAATATCACCTTGTAAGCAACAAAAAAAAAAGAAAAAAGAATTAAAAAGTAATTTTAAAAAAAGATGGATAACATACAGTTACCATATTACCTTCAAAATTCGGTGCATTACTTAATCAGAAACTTCCTAGGATAATTATCCAAATGCTACTCATTTTATTTATGCATGAAATAAGGCCCTAGTTTCTTTATTGTTTCAATCCGTCGTCAATAGCTAGCATATAATAAAGAAGTGCTTGCTTCTATTTATACTTTTCCATGCATAAAGTATATGAAACTGACCTCTGCTTCGGCCTTAGCCTTTTCTCGCCTCACTTCTTCCTCATATATAGCTTTTTCTTTCCGTTTGGCTTCTTCAATAGCCGCATCGTCTTTTATTCTTTGCTCCTCAATCAGGGATCTCTTTTGATGATCCCTTTGGATAGCAGAGAGGTGGCTATCAAGTACTTCAGCACTAATAAAACAAGACAAAAGCAGGAAGTCAATAAGACTTCCAACTTTGGAGAATTCTTATTTAAACTTTAAACCATAGAAAACAGACTGCTAGAGGATAGAACAATCAAACTTTATAGGCACAATTCAGAACACAAAAAGAACAGAGAATGGAAGTTATAATGTTAAAAGCACAAAAATAAGGACCTATCCAATTTTACCATCAAGGAAAAGGTCAACACAATCAGAGGTGGCAAACCCCATAAACATGCAGCTGCAAACATTTGTCATGGACAAGAGGAAACAACAATATCTGGATAAATTAACTAAACCTAAAGTGTAGGGCATGGAATGAGTTACAGCTGATATCACACAAAAAGTCAATAAGTTTGTAAGGAAACCTGATAAACAGAAAGTCCTTTAAGTATGTGGGGGAACAAAACAAACTGCAATAGTGAACCAACCAAACTGGCTAGAAAATAAGCTATATTCGCTGCAATATCTTATGCAATCCAATGAAATTCAATTTGGAAAACACACAGAATATTGATTGTCATACCAAATAACATAATCATGAACTCCTCACCTTTATTACAATCATTTTTATATCACTTTAGACAGAAAAAAATGAAGAAAACACGACGAGAAACAATTTTATCCACAATATGCTATATTCTCCACAATCTCGCTTCGTGTATTTAAAGTTAGCTCCTATCTTTCCGCTAGTTTTTCAAGGCAGAAAATATTGCAGAACCTTACATTCTCAAAGCTATGTTGTTATAAATATTCGTGTCCCCGTACCCTATGTTTTACAGATTTACAGTGTCCCATGTCCTATGCAACATAGTGTCAAAAGCTTCCGTTGCAGAGGAATACTATGCCAAAAAATACAGCTAAATAATTAAGTTCTAAAAGTTCAGTCAGCAGTTACATGTGTCAACTGGAACCTAGTCATGTTAAACAAACACCCTTTTTTAGCATGACAGTACACCCTAAAAATTCTGTTTCTTGCATAGCTTAAAATGCTATAAGCCTATAATAGCAACTACTATAAGAAATGAAGAAAACAACATACACGTGATAAAAAAATAAACAAAAATGTTTCATGTCAAACATGTATCCATGAGAAACATCACGAAATAAGGTGCAAAAAAATAATTCTCGTAGTTAACCTATAAAAAAAATATTTAGCTGACTCAAATATTAGTAATACTACAAGAGCCGAAAGAAGAAGGAATACATCTTGCACCGATATTGCTTATCCAGACTTCTGTCAGTCTCACGTCTTTCTTCTATATATTTCTCTATCTGAAGAACAGCATGCTGCGATCTGTAGCAGTTCTTTTCATAATCTAATTCCAGTGCAGATAATGTACTCCTTACTTGCTCCTGCTAACAGGACAAAAATTATGAAAAAGAAAACACATCGTAGATATACCTTTGATTACAGTCAATAACATAATTGAAACTCTTCTGTTCATAATGATTATGTTTTATTATTCATATAGTTAAAACATATTGTGCCTAAAGAAGTTCCAGATATAATGCTTACGAATTGAATGTTAGTAATTAGTTCCAAAAACATGAAGATGCTAATTTTATATCTGACATTAACAAACTTTATCCATTAAATCCAAGCACCAATATGATGTAATGAATAACCCATATTGGCTGATATGTAGTTATGTACAGTGGAGATATTTCATAAATATATCAACCAAAATCCAGTTCAAAATGATATGACCAACTTATTCACCATAGAATTAAAATTATTTAAAACATAAAAAAATTAGAAAAATAAATCAGGAGAGAAGAAGAGAGAAAAAAGCAAAAAGAGGAAGAAAGTAAGATGAAAGAAAGAGAGGAAGAAGATTATGAAGGTCAACGTGAGTTACTAAATATTATTGTAAGCTGGCAAACAAAAGTATGATAAGAATAAATTAAAAAACAAACAAATTATCTTTTTGAATGTCTTGATAATGGTCGGAGGAGGCTCTGCCAATCATTGTTTTAAATATCCCCGACATGGCCCGATATATCCTTTTACAGGGTTTGCCGCAACCGATATGATCTCTAAATATCCTTCACCGTTATTTGGCTATTTTGGGCGATATACCCCCGATATGGCCGATATATTGGCCGATATGTGGACCAATATATCTTTTTATATGGCTTGTCACAAAATAACATACCGTGATTAGCAATTTTTGGGCGAGATATTATGATTTTTTCCTATTATATCAAATGATATTTTTCCCTAATAAACCAGATTAAATGTTGCACCATTGACTTGTACTTATGTTTGTTTTACAAGGTTGAATAGTGATCCTAAACATATATTATTTACATTTGATATGCTTAGATTTCATTAAGTATGTTCGGATTACATTTTAGTGCATTATACTATATATGCAAATATCCGTTATGGCATTCCGATATTTACCACATATCCCCAATATTTCTTCGATATCCGCAATCCGATATAAATTTTGGTCATCCGATATTTTCCCGATATCCGATATTTAAAACCTTGCTGCCAATGGTCGAGACAAGAGGGTAGTAGCTCTACTGGTAGTTCAACAAAGGAGAGTGATGGGACGTAGAGGACGTGGCGAGAAGAGAAGGGATTCTTTTAGCAAATAAGCCCTAGGATGTCTTTTAACTGAATGGATTTAGAATTGGGGATGCAACTCGATATCTTCACCTAGTGCTGTACTTTAGTAAGCTACATAACAGCTTTTTATGTGCATTGCGCACTAAAGTGGCATATTGCTTTGTTCAGCACCCCAGAGCAGACTGGGCATTGCTTCTGCCTGATGCCCAAAACGTTAAAACAATGTATATACGTAAGTCAAACTCAAATCTGAAACCAGTTAACCATTATATATAAACCCATATACACTTTAACGCGCTTATTTTGATGTTGATGATTTCCCATTTTAAGCTTTATGGTTGTTTTTTATCAAGCCTAAGGGTCTCATATAATTAAATGTAGTTAAAAACTTTGATGAACTTAAATAATTTAATATTAAGCCTCTGCTTTAACTTTAAATGCGAAAAAGAATGTTTTCAAAACTGTAAGTTCAATTGATTTTTTTAATAATTGAAAAATAACAAATCTATGCTAAGTCTAGTTTTGAGGTTCTTGGATATGAATTAAATTTAACTAGAGAACGTGAATGTTTTTCTTGATGAGCTGGTTCATCTAATTTCAGTTTTCAATAAATTGCTCTGTTTTAGTTTCCGATTTCTAAGTTCTAAAAGAAGTATGATTCTAATCTGGAATCCTTCAATACCTTAAATTAAATGGAATACTTAGTTCCCTGATTGACGATACAGAAACTTGTCTTTGGTTCCAAATTCAAATGCGAAGAAATTGTGCTATTCTCTTGTTTAATGAATAACTTGAGAAATTGACTCCAGTCTCCACTGTAATCTACGATACGTGGACATGGATAAGAAAGTCTTAGCTGGACACAAACATGGGATGTAGGGTATATTAACCCTCTTGACTCAAATATGAGCTTAGCTGGACACAAACATGGGATGTAGGGTATATTAACCCTCTTGACTCACCAGATCTCCTCGACGCCGTTGTCTAGCCGAGCTCTGACAACCACCCGGAGAAGCACCCGCAGCAACAAACCTTCCGCCTCACCGTCGAGTTCACTACCAACCGCAACCACCAACGCCTTTCCTTCGTCGCACGCCATATGTTCGATGTTATGCCAACAGCCCCCTCGAACCCGTTGAGCCCTCGTGATGACAACCGTCGTTGTCGCCGTTCCCAAACATCGCCATCACCCCCTCGACGGCAAGCATTTTTGTCTTGCTCTTTATTGATTTCGTTCTCATTATTATCATGCAAGCATTTTTTTTTCCTCAATTAAATTTATAAATTTCTTTTTCTTACATTCATGCAAGCATATTTTCATTCCTTCCTTTTTAATAGTTAGTTGCTGTTAGTATGGTTCATATATGAGTGTATGCTATTATTGCTATGTTTTGGGTTCGACTTTCTTTGATTGGAATTTTAATATTTACTTGAGTTATTAGTTTCCATATGAACGTTTCTAGGAACCACTTAGCCGCTCTGGTTAAATTTTATTGCTTGGATACTTGGAGTACTACACATGCTAGAGATGGCACCTCTTGGTAATTGTCACGTTGCCCGCATTTTTATATACAGAAAATTGAAACTTTAGATGCAACTTTGTAAACAAGCGGAACCTTTCATGATTTTCATTACAAGGAATATTGATTGAAACTGAGACCAAATTTCTTTAACCTTGTAGCATGATCTAGTGACATTGACCATATGACACATATATTTCTAATTTATACTTGTTATGAAATCACGTTTGGAGAGTTCATAGTTTTACGGAATATTGTACCATCAAGGGCCTAGATAGGCGGGACTTATCGGGGAGTGATAATGGAAATCACTTGACATGTCATGATTAGATTAACACCCGGTTCCTACTTATAGTATTTAACTTGTTTGATACCGTATTTGACATGAATGGCTATGTGGAAAGTAATTTGTTTGATCACCTAGTTATCATCCAATAGGTGAGACTGTGCATGAAGACGACTCCTGTTAAAAATATGATTTGTAAGCGTGCTTTCATAGCATGGCTATGTTCTCGATATCGACATCCCGATATGAGATTTTTCCTTGGCTATTTACTATTATAGCATCGACTAGACGATGCACCCATCTTGATTAGACATGTTCTGGGTCACGGTTATTTTCATAGTTTTACAGAAGTCGTTCCACGGTAACTCTGTGGTTAGTGCACAACATTTCATGCACAGTCATAAAAAAAAATTAAATTTGACAAACATGGGGTTTATAAAGGGGAATTAGACGAAGAATGTAACATGTATATAAACGGGCATATGCGCATTCCTGATATCCTGAGTTATATATACATGGGCCAAAGAGCCAATTCCTGACTTGAAGCCGTGTTCCCGGGACGGTTTACGGGGAACCGATTTATATACATGAAAATATTCTTCTCTAATTCAAATAACATGTAAAATAAGAATAATGTGTTTATATGCTTTGTGATAGATTTTGGCATGCATAGCATGGCCTGGAGGAAGTATTGGTGATGTATATTTATATTGTTTGTTTATAGAATTTTGGAAATTGATATTTAGAGATTTACAATTTGAGATATATGGTATATACGAGGGTTTCCTTGTTTGGATTATTCCCTCGACGTACTCATCTCGTGTTGTGAGTTTCTAAATCTGAACTCCTTTTAGTATAGGGTATAAGATATGTGCTTGAGAAAGACCATGATTGATATATACAATTAGCAGTATGGGTGTTGTATATTGATATTGTTGTGTATAGAATTTTGGGAGTTAATATTTAGAGATTTACAATTTGAGATATATGGTATATACGAGGGTTTCCTTGTTTGGATTATTCCCTCGACGTACTCATCTCGTGTTGTGAGTTTCTAAATCTGAACTCCTTTTAGTATAGGGTATAAGATATGTGCTTGAGAAAGACCATGATTGATATATACAATTAGCAATTTTCCCCAGTCATCTTTAATGGAGCTTTCATCATATTTTGGTTTATAAGATAGGCATTTTCTTTTATCACTAAAAATTTAGAATTTATCTTTTCTTTATATCTATCATTTATACTTACACGCGCACAATTTTCCTCATTTTACATGCTTGTTGGGAGTTTTCTGACTCCCCTGGGGTTTGCATGCCCCAGACTAGGGGATTGTTTTCTTAGCAGGACCGAGAGTACTTTGAGGATCAGGTCCAACGGCAGTGATAATTTTCAGTCCGATCATTTCTCCCAGCTTTAGTTTATTTAGTCTTTTCCTGCAATCACTTGTGGTTCTCCAGACTATAATGTATTTTTCTCTTTCTCACTTGGATAGTTGTGGACATGTAAGAGAACTCTGTCTTTGTTAGAGATTTCCTTTATCTATTTATTTTCTCTGCTATCTTAGTTACATGCTCTATGTAGTAGTTCTTTTGGCAATATACTTGTATACAGGATGATCTAGAGGCGTGAATGTGACTGTATGGTTGCATTGCCGGCCGAGTCACGCTCCAAATTATGGCATTTTGGAACCGGGGCGTGACAAGGTTTTTAGTGGTATCAGAGCCAGGTTTAGAAATTGTTGTCTCATCCTGTATACAGATACAAACTAAGATTAGGCCAAAAATATAGAGCGTGTATAGAATAGGTTCTTTCCTTTGCAAGTGATACGTCCTTTGACTCCCAATACCCTGACTCTCAAGTCATAATCTTGACCAATCTCATTTTAGGGAATCCCTCTACTCCAGTTGTCTCTCCTTTGCTTGGAATTTAATTTTGAGGACATGATATTGGATTGAGGAAATATGAA